ACCGGGGACACATCTTGATGTAGAGAAGACATCAAAAAGTGCATTTTGCATGATAGGTCCCCTTTAAATGAGGGAAAATGGTAAAATAAGAATTGACAGCTTATTTTGAGTATATTTGGCTTACAACAAGACATTTATCTCTTTTCTAGCATCCAGATATATTTTATATTTCAAAAACTCGTATAACGTCTTATAATCTCACTGCACAGGGAGTTTATTGCACTTTTAAAAAGGCCTCAGGGCGAAGTAAGAGCTAATCAAATCTGTATCTTCTCAAAATGCATAATTTTCTGGTTTTAACATGGCCTTTTTTCCTGCAGTGTGTCGTTATGAATCAGTGAACGATCCGCCTCCTGTCGTCCTTACTTTAGTGGAAGAACAGTAACAACACGACGGGAACAAGAACAACAGATGACATTAGAAATAGAAAGAACAAAGGCAGTAAAAGCAGGGAGAGAGAGTGGGAAAGGTTTCTGAATTTGTGTAGCTGCAGGATGGAAATACATTCTTCTGCTGGAACAATAACGTGGAGGACACACAAGGTCACTCTCTTTCTCCTCTCAGCTCTCTGTGCCAAACCAATGCACATCATCTATACTGTCACAATACCAACCAACCACATATGCACACAAGCTACAGTGTAGAAATGGCAATGGAATTATTCTGACCTGAGCTCCTCCAACAATGCAACATATATAATAAAATACAAAATACAAAATAGTGCAAGAAGTCTATATACATACAAATAGAATATGATATGTACAAGAACAGAATATGAAATTAAATAATGTACATTTAAAGGTGGGGTAGGTAATTCACTTCAGAAACACTTTTTGTTATATTCCATGGAATGCTCCCGATAGCAATGAATACATGAAATGTTTTGACAATAAATACATAAAAAAAGTCATCTGTGGAAGCCGTGGTGCTGTAAAAAGCACGACCAATCATCTGAGCCGGCCCGGCTAAAATAACTGGATGGCCTACCTGCCTGTCAGCCTTCCATCTGTGCACAAACTTATCTCGTGCCCTCATTGGTCATGTGCGCGTTCGTGTGTGTTGGAGGAGGGGCTCTGTGAGGAAGTCTGAAGGAAGGGGCAGATTTTTTTCGGTTGTGTACTTTCAAATTCTAGCGCACTCGAGCTGGGTTCTCCATTCTTACCTACCCTACCTTTAAAACCAAATTAAATACGGTTTATTGCGGTGATAACTATTTAGATAAATAAGTAGATTGCAAGATGACAAACAGGAATGTTTATCGGGGCACTCAGCAGAGCTCAGGTGTCGGTTTAAACTGTCCCTTAGTCAACAAACACACATACAGTATATCAGGGGTGTCCAAACTACGGCCTGTGGGCCAAATTATAAAAAGTATAATGGAATGCGGCCCACAAATGAAACTTGAGCTTGTCTTGTATTGTACTTCTTAACCCTTGTGTTGTGTTCAAAAGCTGTTACCGTTCATGGTGTTCGCGGGTCAATTTTGACCCATGATTTATCTCAGTCCAAAACACTCAAAATGAATGACTATCATACAATATTGTTTTAACTACATCATAACTAATTTATTATGCATTCATAACCGTACAATCCTGTACAATCCATTATATTTCCTACAGTGAAGACAGTGGATCATTACGTTATCTGACTATAATAGACTAATATTAGAATACAACCTCCCCAAAATAAGTTTTAAATGATTGTTACAGTTGATGAAGGGGGAGGGGTGTCTAAAGTCAAAGATGAATCTTGATTGGGCCAAATTTGACCCTGTGTCATCCAAAACCATTCTGCTGGGTCTTCCCCGACCTGAACACCAAATGATGCACCTTTTTTTTTTAGAGACTTTCAGACTTGGCTTAAATTGTCAAAATGAGTGTTTATACATCTGTTGTGGAGGACATCATGAAGCCTTGTTCCGTTAAAAAAAAAAAATGAAGCGTAGCGTTATTATATAATTGTAACTTGAAACTGGTCACGGGAGACCCAAACACAACATAAGGGTTAAATATGTCCGTAAACATATATCACACAGTAGTTTTCATGTGCTAATAAGCCCACTTTCAGTCAATTACAGTTGAAAAGACATTCTAACAAATCTAAGTTGATACGAAAAAAGCCCAATCATTTAATGACATAACAACCTTTAAATATACCCTTCCTATTTCTTCTTATGATAAGCAATCTGAGGCTTCTGTTTTAAGGAATGAGCTGCTAACTGAATAAATGAAACCCTATAGAAAGCTGTCATAGGCTGCAGCATGATTTACTTACATTTGATTGATTTTGCTAACTAGTGAGTGGCCCAGCCCTTTGAATATGTTCTGTATGTGTCCATCGGTGAAAAAAGTGTGTACACCCCTGCAGTATATGTACAATTTACAAATATCCGACTGACCTTGTCTCCTCTCTGTCCGGATGGACCCGGAGGCCCGATGATCCCGGGGATGCCCTGAAGACAGAGAAATGTTTAGTTTCACACTGAAACTGCCTACTTTTCCATATTGTGTACTATAGTTACAGAAAACAATGTGTTCCACCTTAAAAGGAGAGACTACAGGGATAAATATTTTAAACTAAATTATAGATATCACTTCAAAAACTGTCCGAGTCAATTACTTACATTAAGATTAAACATTTTATTGAACAATACCTGAAAATGTCTGTTTAAATATGCAAGTGAAGCCCAACTTTCTTGACTACGTGTTAATTTGAATACATTTTAAAGAAGAGATACTTAAACATCGGATAATGCCATGTTAAAAACTATCATTTTGTTTGGTTAACATGTTAGAAGCAGGTTTATACAGAGGGGCTTTTGATATTGTTTTGTATAAATCAGAAAATAGTGACAACAGTCATTTTTTTGTAAATGAAATGTTGTTTAAATCATGCTATGAATAATATATACCCAAGCCCTCAGTAACGACCTTCAGAATATAGATAGGAATGGTTTGCGTAAGTGTTACTGAAGTGAAGAGTTAGAAAATGTTACGGTAACACATTGTTTTTAACCCCATAACTTCCACAGTGGATGACGTACAGGAATTATATTATTTTCTGTATTACAGGTTTACTGAAATGTTATATTAAAATATGCTAATGAGACATCCAATGGTAACTATTTGTAGAGAAATTAAGATACGCAAATAAAGTTAGACAGAAAGAAATAACCTTAATATGTGTATTGGATGTTTTGTATTCCATGTGTCTGAAAGAATACATGTTTTGGAAGGAAAATATCCCTTATCCTGATTAATCAGTGTTTTAAAAAAATGATGGTTTTGTCTGAAGTGTCTGTAAAGGTTTAGAAAGACTCACCACATTCCCTGGTAATCCACGAAGACCCGAAGGACCAGCTATACCTGGTGGACCCTGAGAGAAACACATCATATACGAGTTAATAAAACACACTACGTACTCCAATTCAGTGTGAAACAGTGTATTAGATATGAACAGAAAACTCACGGGGTCTCCAACTCGTCCGGTCTCTCCCGTCAGTCCAGTCTCTCCCTGAGGACCCTGCAATAAAGAAGTCAAATTAGACGTGTTTTTAATAAATCAGCTGTACAGGAAACTGAGTTACAGGATGATCAGAAACGTACCGCCAACCCAGCTGGTCCATTAAAGCCTTGTTCACCAGGAAGCCCTCCCTGACCCTTTGGGAGAAAACACACATTGTAATTGAGTGAGACTGTTGTGTACACATTGATATTATTTGTATTACCATAATTGTGATTTGGTTGATGATATTTCGCAGTTATGTGCACCTATTATGTGGACCTATTATGATATATTGGAAAAACATATTGTAGGGCCATACCTACACAAAACATGTCTGTGAAGTGTTTTGCTTAAAATACCAAACAGTTTACCCATTGTAGCCATGCCTCATACTGCCCATACCCCTCTTTTGCAGCCCTGTTAGAGAAACAAGGATTTTGGGTCCTTAGCTTAAAAAAAAAAAAAGAGGAGGCGGAGCTAATGCCTGATCAGAATTCTACCGGAGATAAAGTTGCATTCTGCTGTGATAAAAGCTTTTTAAACACATGTGCTCTACAGCACAGGTTAGCTCTGAGTGTTAGCGAGGCTTGCTAATGTAAACAAAGATGAGATTACGTCCAAAACACGTCAGGCATTGTTTCTGATAGCAACTCTCTGTGGGTCCGCTGCCGATTGGACGTCATACCGGCAGCAAATCTGTATCCGCTCGTTGTACCCCCGTTTTTATAAGATTTGGGTGCGGAGGAATTGAGAGAGGGTTTTATTTTCTGACGCTGCGTGAGTTCCCCAACGCACCGGGGGACACATAGTTGTGACATAGTTGTGACATCACAAAGTGCATTTTTTGTTCTTACTTGTGAAGCACTTAGTGAATTCGATTTATGTGAAAGGTGCTATAGTAAATAAACTTATTATTATTATTATTATTACAATGTCCTTTGAAAATACTAAGCTGTTGATATAGTCATACCAATAAAGCTTGAATTGACTTAATATAAATACGTTTTTTCCACTTATTTTTGTCCAAATATTACAATATATGTGTGGTAAAAGAATGATGGGTAAATTAGGGTGGATCAGGGGTGGGGAAATGTTTTTTGATTTAATTTCCACAGCCCAGTTAGTGAAGACCCCTGAGTCACATTACTGTAGCAGGGCTGCCATTCTCTAGTCTCTGCTGACACCTAGTGGACACGTGTGTGTATTGCTATACGAAGAAATATATGAGCAAGAAATGGAGAGTAAAACTCACCATGGGTCCTGGGGTCCCTTGCTCCCCCTTCTCTCCTCTCTCTCCAGGCATCCCCTACAAGCAAAAGCAAATAATTCAATTATTAATCTCATAATGATCTGAATACTTTATTCTACCACCACCAGAAATTCAAATTAAAAGGAAGAAGTATAAGAAAACCAGATGGAGAACAGAAGTGATCTTTATGAAACCTTGAGCAGGATCACATCTCAAACCAAATATACATAATTTAAGTGTTACTAAAAAAATGTGTTATAAAAGAAGTGTACTCACAGGTTCACCAGGCTCAGGGATTACATTTGCTACCTGTAAGGAAAAGGGTAATCAGTTAGGGCCAGTAACACTTTTCAGACATCTGATTCAACCCTCTTGTTGTCTTTGGGTCAAATCCGAGAAAACAAAACTTTTTTGTTTTACATTCGATTGCATTAAGGCTTTATGATATCCTTCACAGTAGACATTTGAACATATACAATTGCTGATCACCACTTCCATTGAATTTTGGATGATTTAGTCAACTTTGTAACACCCATGGTGTTCCCGAATTAGTAACCATCCGGATCCACACACACACACACACACACACACACACACACACACACACACACACACACACACACACACACACATGTGCCCATCCCCCCACATGGATCACACCTGGCACACGCAGTACATGTTCAGTGTCTGTTCTTTGTATATTTACTGCAGTGTTCATGTATACCAGTAGTCTGATACAATATTTATAGTTTGAAAGGGTG